TAAACCCGTGGTTCTCCAGCCAGATACGCCCATGGGTTCCTTTTGGGCCCTCCAAGACGATGATATCGCAGATTGCCTCGGGCCATCTCCGCCCGCGGTAGCTTCAGCAGGCCCACCCATTGACCTCAACGAAACTGACCTCTCCTCGACGCAAGCTGAACAGTTGCGGAAGCTGCTGGACAACTACTCCGATGTCTTCAGCACCGGACCTAGGGACAGGGGTCGAACTAACCTCACCACTCACCGCATACATACGGGTGACTGTCCGCCTATCAAACAAAGACCACACCGCACACCTATCCACCGTCAAGCGGAAATCCACAGACAAGTTGACGCCATGCTGGCAGATGATGTCATAGAGAGGAGCCAAAGTCCCTGGGCCTCTCCGGTGGTGCTAGCTCGTAAGAAGGACGGCTCGTTCCGCTTCTGCGTCGATTACCGCAAGTTAAACCAGGCGACCATCAAGGATGCGCACCCCCTTCCCAGGACCGATGATGTCATAGACGCACTCTCCGGTGCCGCCTACTTCACCACACTGGACATGACATCAGGTTACTGGCAGGTTGACCTCGACCCTGCTGACCGCGAAAAGACTGCGTTTACCACCGGACGCGGTCTGTACCAGTTCAAAGTAATGGCGTTCGGACTTACCAACGCGCCGTCCACCTTCCAGCGCCTCGTTGAACTCCTCTTGGCTGGTCTTGACTGGCGCACCTGTTTGGCTTACCTGGATGACATCATTGTCTTCTCACGAACATTCCAGGACCATCTGACTACCCTCGAAGAGGTTTTCCGACGCTGCCGGGCCGCCAACCTCAAACTGAACGCCAAAAAGTGCCAGTTCGCGAGGCCGCGAGTCCGTTTCCTCGGCCATGTCGTTTCCAAACAAGGAATCCAACCGGATCCAGCCAACACAGAGAAGGTCCGGCATTGGCCAACCCCCACCTCGACTGCCGAGGTCAGAGCCTTCCTCGGACTGGCTTCTTATTACCGCAAGTTCGTACGGAACTTTGCCCACATCGCAGACCCCTTGGTAGCTCTGACGAGAAAACATGTCCGTTTCGCCTGGGACGATGCCTGCCAGAAAGCTTTCGACTCCCTGCGGGCTGCTCTGGTTACACCACCTGTATTGGCGTATCCGGACTTTACGTCTCCCCTTACCCTGTACACAGACGCATCCAACACTGCCATTGGGGCTGTCCTGACCCACCCGGACGACCTTGGCGAACACGTCATCTCTTACGCGAGTAAAACCCTAAGCAAGCAGGAGCGGAATTGGTCAACCTACGACAGAGAACTCTGGGCCATTGTCTGGAGTGTCCG